CTGTCTGTTTGTGTGTGTTCCCAGGCTGCCATTGCCTCGGGTTCGCCGCAGGAGCCAAAGCGCCTGCGAATGTTGTCCAAGATGGCTCGCCCCAACGGCATCGCCGCAAACGGCACAAACGCCTTTGTCATCAGCAACTGCGAAGCCAGCCCCCGCGGCTTCTGGGCGGTGTGTAGAGTGCGCATTTTATGCGTGTGTGTGTGTGTGTGTGTGTGTGTGTGTGTGTGTGTGTGTGTGTGCGTGTGTGTGTGTGTGTGTCTGTGTCTGTGTGTGTGTCTGTGTCTGTGTCTGGGTGGGTGCGTGCATCTGCCTGCCTTCTCTCTGCAACTGCCTGCCTTCTCTCTGCGAATGTCAGCCCGCTTGTGCGCGCGTGTGCTCGCCGCTGTAACTCTTTGTTCATCACACAACACACATGCACGCGTGCAGCGATGCAAGCTTGATACGAGCGGCCACACCAAGTGCAAGACATTTGCCGAAGTCAAGGATGCATATGCGAAATACTTTGGCAAGCCCGACGGCCTCAAAGTCAGACAAACACACGCACACGCGCAGGCACAGTGGCCGGTGTTGAGGTTGTGACGGTCGAGATGGTTCTGCATTTTAATTTTGAACGGGGCGGCATCATCATTTCACGTCATATATGAAACATGTCATAGCGCACACCCTCAATTTGCACATGTGTGTAACTGGCGAGGTCATATCCACCCACCCCAAGAGCGGTCACACTGAACCTTGCGTGCTGTGCTCAACCCACGAACCATCTAACGATATCAACCAACTCATCCGTACATGCGCGCGCGTGCAGATTGACAGCGAGGGCCGGCTTTGGGCCACGGGACCCGGCGGCGTCCGCGTGTACGACCAGCAGGGCAACTTGCAGGGCCTGCTGCTCACTGGTCGAAAGACGGGCAACCTAGTCTTCAGCCCGGAGCCAGACAACGCCTTGTACATCACTGCGGATAACATGCTGCTGCGCATGAGGCTCAAGCACAGCATCGCCGCCTAGTGGCTCTGCTCATCGTCCTGCCCTTCCTTTGCTGCCGCGGGCGACACGCGGTCAAAGTATCCTGCCAACCAACAAATCAATCAATCACCACAATGTTGTTACCTGTTGCGTGAGCATGCCTCTGGTTCAGATGCTCTGTTTGTTTCGTTACTTCCGCGTATTGTGTGTGAGTGAGTGTGTGTGTGTGTGTGTGTGTGTGTGTTTCGTGCGTGCTTGTATTTGTGCGTATGTTGCGTGTTGCGTGTGTTATGTGTGTGCGTGTTGCGTTTGAACACGTGTGTGCATGATGCTCCGGCTTGCTTGCACCACTTCCCTCTTGTTGCGTTGACAGCACCGGCCATGAACAATCAAAATACGCGCAGGCAACCACGCTGTGGTATCCTCGTCACACACACACACGCACACACACACACACACGCACACACACACACACACACACACAAAACTGTACCGGCAGCGAAAGTGCGAAGATTGTCTGGTCTCTCGACAAGCACGGCCCTGTGTGTGAGAAGCCATGCCGCAGTGCAGTTTTGTTAGCCCTCGATCCGGGTGCGCTCGCAATTCGTGTGATTTTCAAGTCAGGCTAAAGGCTGTCAAGTGCAGCAAAGCTTGACAAAGCTCCTACACACCAACAACATCATCATGATGTCACATCACATCACCACATCGAAGCACTCTCACTTACTTGACAAAGTCGTTGATGAGTGTTTTGAGCTCTGGATGGCTCCGCAAGTACCGCTCATTCACAATGCGAAGTTGCGCCTGCCCAAAAGAATGTGAGTGAGTGAGAGAGAGCGAGAGAGAGAAATAGAGAGAGAGAAATAGAGAGAGAGTGTGTGTGTGTGTGAGAGAGTGAGAGAGTGTGTGTGTGTGTGTGCGTGATCGAGACGGACAGACACACATACAGACACACATGCAGACGCACATACAGCGCCGCAGAGATGCAGACTGATAGAGCGAGAAAATGTGCGTGTGTGTGCATGATCAATGTGTTCAGCAAGCTGACGTAAGTGGGGACAACCTTTTGCTCATTGAGTCGGCTTTGTTGCTCCTCATCCATTGTGTGTGTGTGTGTGTGTGTGTGTGTGTGTGTGTGTGTGTGTGTGTGTGTGTGTGTGTGTGTGTGTGTGTGTGTGTGTGTGTGTGTGTGTGTGTGTGTGTGCTTCCTTCGCGGCCTTGGCTGTTGTTTCTGCCCTTGACCACCAGCGAGTTCGGAAAACTTGTGGGTATGACGGCAAATCGTCTGTTGTGGTTTATGGCACCGTGGGCACACCGCTCCAAGTGGTGGCGCGATAGCGGGCATAGTCGTTGCCGAAGAAGCGCAGCAGATACGCCTCCTCAAACTCAATGCGATCCCGGAAGAAGGAGATGGCCGCGTACGCATACGCCCCCTAATGGCAGCCGCACCAGGGCAGTGGTGAAGTTGCGTGAGGAACGAGCAGTTGGGGGGTTTGGTGCGAGAGGAAGAGACGAGACAAGCACAAGTGGGGGGGGGGAGGGTGGCTGGTCGTTATGCTCGTGTACTCCAGGAACAAGAACACAAGGTAGCCGGCTCAATCAGAGCAAGCATACGCCTCACAGCCACAAGTGCGACACATGCTGTAAGCGTCGAGCACACACACACACACACACACACACACACTCTCTCTCTCTCTCTCTCTCTCTCTCTCTCTCTCTCTCTCTCTCTCTCTCTCTCACACACACACACACACACACACACACACACACTCACTCACTCACTCACTCACTCATTAACTCACTCACTCACACACACACTCACTCACTCACTCATTAACTCACACACACACACTCACTCACTCACATATGCATGTGCATCAAAACATTCCAAGCACGCACACGGCCTCGCTCACCCTCTCGCAAACACTCTGGTACGTACAGTGCAGAGGATGTTCGAGAGCAGCACTTGTGTTCCAACCGCCCACAGCGACCAGCCAAAGTACGAAGGGTGGCGACACCAGCTGGCACGCCACATTACACACACACACACACACACACACACGCACACACGCACACACACACACACGCACGCACACGCACATACGCACACGCACATACGCACACACACACACGCACGAACACACACACGCACACACGCACACACGCACACACGCACACACGCACATACGCACACACACACATACGCACATGCACAAACACACACACACACAGAGCGACATTAGTAAAAGATGGTTTCACGTGAGCACAGGCAAGAACATCTGCGCACAATAGCATGTTGTATATCTCACCCATAAATGCCGTGCGTGACGAGCTTGTGTGTTTCATCCCGTTCAGTGGCAATGATGTGCTTGAAATTTGAAGCCGCCGTCATCATCGCCAGCTTCCGCGCCACGTCGCCAACCACGGCCATGGCAAGGCCTGTACGAACACAGGTTCACACACGGTCATTTGGTTGGCGTGAGTGGGTGAGTGAGAGATTCAAGAGGAGAGTGCGGGGAAGAGAACAGAAAGCATACCACGATGGAGCGGGCATAACATGCACACGAAGAGAACCACCAACACATGGTCACAGTCAAACACACATACACACATACACACAAGTACGCACACACACACGCGCGCGCACACATGCAAACATGCACACACACACACACACACACACACACACACCCGTGTAGAAGAGAGGCCGAAAGTGAAGCCACGGCACAAAGTAGGATCGAAGACTGTACTCAACAGCAGCAGCTGCTAGGGCGGCATGGTACTCCCGAGAATGGTTCAGGAGGAAGGCTGTGGCGCCACACAGGAGCCACACAGCCCATACGCAGCACGGGGAAGGCGTGAGAACACCACAATCGCTGTTGCAACTGTGCTCGCACAAACCACATATAACACGCAGAACTCGAGCAAAGATCCAAATTGTGAACAAGCAAGCACAAACAAACGTACAATCAAAGGAGAGGACGTGCTGGTTGTAAAGTGCGGTCATGATGTACTCTGAGCAATGGAAGACAGACAAGGACACAAGAAACGCCCCGGCATCTGCAAAGTTGCGCTCTTGAAAGCTGTGCATCGAGCATGAATGGTGGTTATTTGCTTGTTTGTGCGAGGTGTGTGTGTGTGTGTGTGTGTGTGTGTGTGTGTGTGTGCGTGTGTTCAAGCGACAGCACAACAAGCCGTAAGAGACTGCCTGCCAACAACAAAAAGCTTGGCTGTCGCAAAGGAGAAGGGACGCTGCAAACACATTCGAACAGTTTGCATTGCTGTGCGCACCTGTAATCTGCCGTCGCAAGGTTCAATCCCACGGAGCAAACACAACCCAAGATGGTGGACACGCAAGACGCGACGACATAGGAATGGGAAGAGAGGGCGACCAAGGGGACGGCCGCTGCAGCAGCGATGGCACCCGGGACCGTCCAACCAAACCTACACACAGACAGCAGCAGGTGCATACAAGGGAAGCGGAGTGTAACTGTGAGATGAAGAATGGCAGGGCGAGCAAAAGGCGACAAGTCTCAGTCACGCTTCCATACTTCCAGCCAAGTCCACCCGTTTGAAACTGACGACACCGGTTCCTGAAGACAGGACGCACACACGCGCACACACACACACACACGGAGAGAGAGACAGAGAGACAGAGAGACAGAGAGACAGAGAGACAGAGAGACAGAGAGACAGAGAGACAGACAGACAGACAGACAGACAGACAGACAGACAGAGAGACAGACAGAGAGACAAAGAGAGACAGACAGACAGACAGACAGACAGAGACAGAGAGAGACAGAGACAGACAGACACACACACACACACGCACACACAACGCACGTTGGAAGCGCAAACGAAGCAAGCGGAGCGACGCTGAAGAAGGCCGTGGCCAAACCCGCTGGAAGGGGATCCCAGACCACACCGCCAACACGGGCGCCCTTGCCCTTGCCGCTGTCGGCAGCATTGTCCTTGTCACGTCCACTCATGCCTCTCCTTGTTCGTTGTCTTTGCCTGTTGGGTCCTTGCTTTGCTTCTTGCTTGCTCTCCGTTGATGTTGTTTTTTTTTTTTGGTCGTCCGTCAGCAGCAGCAGAAGAAGAAGAACAAAACATCCACAAACGCTCTCGCATCCACACCACACAGAGAGACAGGATGGCTCACCATCACCACCACCATCAGCACGGCCAGGCAGCGTCCTCGTCGTCGTGGGTGCAGTCCACGACTGGCGGCTGGCAGGTCAGTCCAGAACGGACAGCACCGACGGCAACTGCAGCGCCCACCACCGCAAATGCTAAGGTACTCCCAATGATGAACAACGTGGCACGCGCACGGCATGGCTTGGGAATCATGGGAACGCGCACGAACGCATACTCGATCAAACGCTCACACTCACTCACTCACTCGCTTACATACACACACGTACATTCGCGCACTTACAAACGCACTCGCTTACATACACACACGTACATGCGCACGCATACGCACTCACTCACTCACTCATACTCTCATTGCCATGCATAGGAGCAGGCGTGGGCGCAGGCGCAGTCCGCATTGAGCGCCATTGCAATGAACACAAGCGTTGGCAGCCCAGCGCCAGCAACAAAGTCAGGGACAAGCAAGACTTCAACAAGCAACTCATCATCGTACGTGCCAATGCACAAGAACTGAGCTGCGTGCTTCTTGTTTGAGTGTGCTCTTTTCGCCGGGCTCCTTGAACACGTGTTCCTTGGCGGCAGCCATCCAATCACACGTCCCTTCAAACGTGCACACACATTCATCCATGCCACCTCCCCTCATGCAGCACACATGCATGAACACCACCCACTCATGCTCTGGCCATCCTAATCGCACTCACACACACGCTCTGCCCTTTGCATGATGGCATGTTCACGTGCGTGCAGAGCTCAGCCTGCAGAGCAACAGCAGCACCCGTACCAGCAGTACTCAGCGCAGCAGCCCTACGCGCAAGGCTATCCTGGCAGCACATATGGTGCTTACCCGCCACCTCCCGCTCCTCCGCCTGGATCGTCAGTCACAGCCGGACACGGATGGTACGGGTCCTACTATCCGCCCCCGCCATCACACACGCCCACCTCACCAATGGCCACAGGCCCTCCAGGCTCGTTTACCTCCATGTACCCATCCCAGCAGCCCCCGTACCCACCAACATATCCACCACACACCCCGCCGCACCAGCAGCAACAGCAGCAGGCGCCACAATCCCCATCCACCTCATCAGCTCAGCCATCATCTTGGGCAGCCGTAGCGTCGCAGAATACATCAGCTGCACGCTCATCCTCATCCTCTACCAATGCAAACGTACAGACCCACGTGTGTCTGTGTGTGTCTGTGTGTGTGTGTGTGTGTCTGTCTGTGTCTCTGTGCGTGTGTGTGTGTGTGTGTTGTGTGTGTGTGTCTGTCTGTCTGTCTGTTTGTCTGTGTCTGTGTCTGTCTATGTGCGCGACTGTATCTGTGTGTCTGTGTCTGTGTCTGCTGCTGTTTGTTCTACTTTTGCTGACCTCCTTATTCGCGCCACTGAAATACTTTTCCTCACGTGCGACACAATACCAATCGTCTCTTGTGTGGAACATGCGGCAAATGCCACTTCTAGGCCTGGGCATGGTCCACCGGAAAGACAGGCCCCACCCTCCTGGATGTGAAGATGTCATCGGCAGGCACATCAACGGCACCAGCAGGTCTGCTTGTGCACAACGCCGTCATCATTCGTGCGCCACACACACACACTCTCTCACATACTCACACGCACGCACACGCACACACACACGCCCTCTTGCTCTCGCTCCCACATCCATCACATACACGCCGATTCTGCAGCGAAAGACTCGGCAGCGGGCGTGCGCTTCTCCCTCACGACCCCAGCCAGAAAAACCCAACCTTCCACCCCGTTTGCCAAACACGTACGTCGACCCAACGCTTTCATGCACACATTGCAATGCTCTCTCCATCCTCTGCAACAGAGGATGATGTTCTGCAAGTGCGCAGCCCCTCTCCACTTCCCTTCACCCTGTGCTCACGGCTGTTGTTGTCTCTTCTTGCTTTGCAGGGGACAACGGTGTCATCAGGCGCCTTTATCACCGCGGACACTGGCGCCCTCCCATCAAAGAAAGCAAAGGTGCGTGTACCTGCCCACGTGTGCGCACCCGCACCTGTGCGTCCGAACCCTCCTCTCCCCCCCCCTGCTGATTTTCAGTCCATCCCTTTGCTTAACATACACAACGGCTGTCTGTGCTTTCCCGTGTATGCTGCCGGCCCAATCACCGCATGTTGCACGGACACACACACACACACACACACACACACACACACACACACACACACACACAAACACACACACACACACACACACACATGCAGAGCGGTGGCAGCAGTGGCGGTGGCGGTGTGTCTGAAGCATTCAAACAGTACTGCTTGAAATGCTACGGCAGCTGTGCCAACAAGAAGGAGCGCATGGAGATGAAGAGCATCCTCAAGTCCAAGTATGAGCAAGCAAAAGCATCGGGCGCAACCGTCGACTGGACAAGCATGCCCATCCCCGAGTACGTCATGCTCTCTTTGTTTCAAACCTAATTGCTCTTGTTGAGCCCTCTGGGTCATGTCAATGGCATATTTGTGTGTCATGTTCGGCCACGGTAGCCGCGCAGTGTGCATGCTAGTCGTGTGCATGTGCCACGCTTCAACACTCTTCACGGCATCTCGCGCTTTCCCAGCCTCACGCCTTCCCCCCTCCCTTCTTTCTCTCTCTCTCTCTCTCGTGCCCACGACTCCGCCCAGACTCAAGTCGAAGAAGAAGAAAGGCCAGTCCGCATCTCCCGCGAAGCATAAACGGACCGCAAAGCAGCGCAAGCAGCAGGTCTGATGTGGCAACTGTCATGCATTTTTCTGCTATAGCTCCCACCCGCTGACGTGTGCACGTGCCCATGCATGCTCTCCTTCACCCACTTATGCAACAACAACAACAACAACAACAACAACAAATTCACATGACTCGACATTGGTCACCTTCGTCGCCGTCCTCGTGTTTTTGTTCTTCATGCGATGCAGAGATCGAGCTGGCTCAAGGAGCAATACCAAGCACGGGCCAGACGCAAGGCAGAGCTTGTGGTGGGCACGTGCATGGATCTTGAGAAAGAATACTTTCGTATCAAGGATGAGGTGGATCCATCCACAGTTAGGCCAGAACCCGTCCTCAGGGAGGCTTTCAAGCACGTCAAGCAGTACGTTTGGGTATTGGAGAAGAGCGTACACGTGTGTGTGTGTGTGTGTGTGTGTGTGTGTGTGTGTGTGTGTGTGTGTGTGCGTGCGTGTGCGTGTGTGTGTGTGCGTGTGCGTGCGTGTGCGTGTGCGTGTGCGTGTGTCGCTTGCATTAGGGCAATGGCTAATGCAGGGGCGTGATGCTCTGGTGCGCTCAGAAAATTCAAACGTGGTGGTGTTGGCTACAAGTGGATTTGGAGCCAACTCAAGGCCATTCGCCAGGACCTCACGGTGTGTGCGTGCTTGTGTGTGGCTTGCTTAGAAGCACACGGTGTCGCTGCCGCTCTGTGTTGGTAATGTTGGTGTCTCTGTTGTACCCATAACCTAATTCTCTCTCATCTCTCACGTTCATACATCAGGTTCAGCATATCCGCAACAAGTTCACAGTTCAAGTGTATGAGACGCACGCGCGCATCGCTTTGGAATACGTTCGTACCATCTCTGCACGTGCAACACTTTCATCTAGAAAATGCGTGGCTGGTTTTCATGCTTGCTTGCTCACCTATCATGGCTGTATCGTGCCACATTCATTCCACAGGATGACCACGAGGAGTTCAATCAGTGTCAGTCCCAGTTGAATCGTCTCTACAAAGAAGGCATCGAGGTCAGCACGAACTACACATGTCATCACATACATACACACATACACCTACCTATACACACATACACACATACAGATACACACAGGACAACCTTGTTTGCGCGTATCCGCAGACACGCGCCGGTGCGGTTTTTCTGCTCACGTAGCAATCATGCGCATGTGCTTGCAACAGGGTTCAAGGGAAGAGTTTCTTGCGTACCGCTTGCTTGAGTACATGTACAAGCAGAGCGATCGAGACCTTGGTGCGCTACTGGCTGAGCTCACTGAGGATGAACGCCACCTCCCCAACATTCGACACGCCCTCAGTGTCCTCAAGGCGTACTCTTGCAGCAATTACGCCAAGTTCTTCAAGCTGTATGATGTACGATCCCATGCCCATCCAACCAACCGCACACACACACACACACACACACACACACACACACACACACACACACACACACACACACACACACACACACACATGGAATGTGTTTGAGAAGAGACACCTGACATCCATACTCATCGCTTCATTTACGCCACCCGATGATCCTATCGCCTCTTGTGTAAAGACCGCACCCGGCATGGCGCCCTACCTCATGGACATGCTCATGGTCCGCGTCCGGAAACGAGCGCTTGCAGCGTTTGCCAAAGCGTGAGTTCCTCTGCCCTGCAGTTTTCCCATGCGTGTGCTCTTGACGCTTCTGTGCTTGTCCTCCTCTCTCCCTCTCCTCCTCACACGCGCTTTCTGCACTGCACCCACACATGCGCTGCCTGGCGAGACCAGATATCGTCCATCTGTGCCCTTGACCTTCATTCAGGAATACTTCAGGTTTGATGCACGCGGCGACCTCGACAAGTTCCTCAAAGACATGGCTGTGGAAAATTGTGTGGCCAAGGGCGCACTCGACTGTCGTGCAGCCACACGCATCCTTGGGGTGGGCACTTTTTCCACGAAATAAACACTGTTGAGATTGAGCAAGGGATGTTTGTGTGCGTGCGCGTGCATGTGTGTGTGATAGGCAAACGCAACAAACAAGTACGCAACGAGAATGAACAAGCACAACAGGCTAGCTGTCAAATCAACTCGGGCAGCATGTTGATACACGGCAGGTGTGTGTGTGTTTACTGTAGGCAAACGCAACAAACAAGAACACAAGGAGAATGAACAAGCACAACAAGCTGCTGCCAAATCAACTCGGGCAGCACGCTCAAACGAATACAAGACAAGTGCACACACAGTCAACAGAGCTGCCAAGCCGACATGGGCAGAGAGTGCACGAACACAAACAATCTAAACAACGACCAGCATGCATACATGCGCGCAGAGCAATGCTAGGCATGGCATGAATGCTTGCAGGCAAGCATACACAACAGACAACACTTCACAACACTGCATGGCACGCACACATGGCATTTGCCAAGCATGGCGAGCATGCACACACACATGGCACACAACTCACGTGTGTAGGGGAAGCAGGAGAGGAGAGGCAGTTGGCACACATGCATGCCAGCAGAGAGGAAGGGATGTTTGCCAACGGAAAAAACCACAAAGCAGGTGTTGTTGGCAAACAAGACAAAACCACATGAGAAGGCAAATTAGGAAGGACTCAACACAAAACAGAAACTCACTCACTCTCAACACTCCCCCTCAACTGCCTTCCTCTGCTCCGTCTCAGCCGTCGAGGTTCCCACCAGTCGTGGCAGGTGCTGCTCGAAGGTCTGCTTGTCCAGTGCCTTGGTCAGCGCGTCGGCAACCATCTGCGTGCCGGGACAGTGCTGCAGCACAATGGTTCCGTCGGCGATGAGCTCCCGCACGAAGTGGTGGCGTACCCGGATGTGCTTCGTGCGCGGCTTGGTGACGTGGTCGTTGCCGATGGCGATGGCCGCCTGGTTATCTGTCAGCATCTTGGTGGCTCCAGCCTCGGGCTCGTCGAGGTCCATGAGCAGCTGCCGCAGGAAGACGACGTCCTGCGCTGCTGCGGAGATGGCCATGTACTCGGCCTCAGCGGTGCTCAGCGCACCCGTGGGTTGCAGCCGGCTGCTCCAAGACACAAGACAGCCGTTGATGTAGCAGGTGAAGCCCGTCGTGGAGCGGCCCGTCAGCTGGTCGGTGCCGAAGCTGGCATCGCTGTAGCACACAAGGTCCAGCGGCTGGTCCTTGCGCGTGCCGCTGCGTCGCTTGAAGAGGAGGCCGTGCTCGCTCGTCGCCTTCAGGTACCGCACGACGTGCTTGGCTGCCTGCCAGTGGACCGTCGTGTAACGGTCCATGTAACGGCAGAGCAGTCCGCACGCGAAGCTGACGTCTGGTCTCGTGCGGTTGGCCAGGTACAGGAGCGAGCCCACGAGGTTGCGGAAAGGCAGGCGTCGGTCGGGCTGCTCGCTGATGCTGGAGGCGTCGATGCCAACGCGCATGGGCGTGGACACGCTGGCTGCCGCTGCCAGGTTGTAGTCGTTGACGATGTCGTTGATGGCCTGTGTCTGCGCAATGTGCAACACCCCGTCAGCTGGTGACGTCAGGTGAAGGCCCAGGTACCAGGTGAGCGGGCCCAGGTCCTCTGCCTCGAAGCTCTCCTTGATCTGCTGCTTGCAGGCACGGATGTGGCGCTCGCTGCTGCCGCTGATGATGAGGTCGTCGACGTACGTGATGATCCATGTGCGCTGTCCGTCGTCGTGGAGCTTGGTGAAGAGGCAAGCGTCGACGTTGCTCTGCGCCCATCCGTTGGTCTTGAGGAAGGTGTGCAGCTTCTTGGCCCATGCACGGCCAGCTTGCTTGAGACCGTAGAGCGGCTTGAGCAGCCGGCACACCTTGCCCGCGTAGCGTTGAGCGCCGTCGCCGATGTCGGTGAAGTGCGGCGGCAGCTCCATGTACAGCTCCTCCTTGAGATCAGCCTGCAGGTAAGCCGACTTGAAGTCAAGCTGGTGCAGCTGGTGCTGTCGTTGCAGGGAGACGGCGAGTACAGTGAGGATGGTCTTGGCTGCTGGTGTTGGGGCGTAGGTCTGGTCGAAGTCGATGCCCGGTCGCTGGCTGAAGCCCTTGGCGACCCAGCGTGCCTTGAAGCGCGTCGGCGTGCCTTCCGCATCACGCTTCACCTTGAAGACGAAGCGTGACTTGAGAGGCGTGTGCTGCCGTGGCACGGCGCTGCGTGGGATGAGCTTGATGACGCCGTTGCGCTCCATGGCTCCGATCTCCTCCAAGCACGCCTGAGTCCACTGCTTGCGTTGCTGGCTCTTAAGTGCCTGCTTGATGCTTGCAGGCTCCGTGAGGCTGGTGTCGTCACTGCTGCTTGCTGTGAACGCGCCTGCCTCGGTGTCGCTTGCATCTGTTGTGTCGGGGTCGTAGTTGGCGTCGTTGTTGTCGCTGCTGCTGTCGTTGTCGAAGTCCGTGAGCAGAAAGTCTGTCTCGACATCGTCGTCCTGGTCCTCGTCGATGTGAACCGTTGGTGGCTCACCGTCAGTGGTGCTGTTGCTGCTGTCACGTGCACTGGGAAGCTGGAGCATGGACGATGTCGTGGATGTCTGCACTTGCTCCTCCCCCTCATCCATGACATCGGCCTTGGAGAAGGGAAGGAAGCGGACGTGGATGGAGGACACAACGGTGTTTGTGTCTGCGAAGTAGACGAGGTGGCTGTTGCTGCTGCTGTTGTGGCCGACGTAGATGCCTCGACGACCCTTGGGCTGCAGGCGTCCGCGCTGTGTGCTGATGTGGACGACGGCCGGCTGCCCGAAGATGTGCAGCTGCGGCACGTGCTTGGGCAGCGAGCCCGTGACAATCTGCAGCGGTGTCTTGCCGTGGAGGGAAGGGCGAGGCATGTTGTTGAGGATGTGGAGGGCGTGGTTGCAGGCGAGGCTCCAGTACGATGCGTCAAGGCCTGCACCCGTGATCATGGCTCGCACCATGTCGGAGAGGGTGCGCACCTGTCGCTCGACGATGCCGTTCTGCGCCTGGGTGTACGGCGGGGACTGCTGGTGCTGCTTCAGGTGCTTCTTGACGATGGCCTGGAAGTCAGCTCCGAGGAAGATGGCATCGGAATCCGTCTGGAGTGCTGTTGTTGTGGGCGAGATGGGGAGCTTGGTCTCGCGCAGGAAAGACTGGAACGCGGCAACTGCGTCCTTCTTGGCGTTGAGATGGACTGCATGCAGGAGCTTGCTGCCCTCATCGACGATGACGAGGCTGTAGCGCTTGCCCGTGGGTGAGTCCGCGGTCCAGTCGACGATGTCGGCGTGGATGCGCTCGCCGGGCACCTGTGTGCGCTCCGCGTGCTTGCTGACGCTGTGACGAGTGCTCTTGGTCACTGCACACGTTGCGCACTGCTTGCTGCTGATGGCGTTGCGATCGTCGATGCCCATCAGCTTGCAGTACTGCTGCACGTCGTTGTCGTTGCGGTGGCCAAGCACCTCATGCATCGATGGTGTCTGCACCTTGCTCTGGGCTGCAGGAGCTGCTGCGGGTTGCTGTGGTTGCTTGCAGGCATCGGCGGTGAGACCGTGTGCCGTGGATGGACCAACAGCAACAATGGGCCAGCATCGGAGGCTGCTGCGCTCCTTCAGCTTGACCTCGGCTCCGTGGCTGAAGCGCACGTAGTGCCCATCAGCGCCATCACGCTGCGAGTGGCCCGTTGGCCTGCCGCTGCTGTCCCTGGTCAGACGACCGAGGGCGATGAGGTTGGCCTGGCCCTCGGGCACGTAGAGGCACTCCTGTAGCACAATCTGCATCGTGGCTCCGCTCGTCGTGCGTGCATGCAACAGCACAGAGCCAACACCGCGCACGGGCACACGTGTGCCGCCAAACGCAGTGATATGGCGTGGATGGTGCTGTTGCAGGTGCGGTGTCAGCTCCACGAAGGCGTCCTTGACGAAGGTGAGGTGGTGTGAAGCACCCGTGTCTGCAAGCCACGTGAGTGGGTCATGCAGCTGCGTGGGTGTAGTAGCTGTGGCAGCGACGAAGGTTGCTGCGTCTTGACCATGTTGATGCTGTGTCTGTGCAGTGAAGCCTGTTGCTCCGTTGTCGCGTTGCTTCTTGCGACACTCTGCTGCACGGTGTCCATACTTGCCACAGTAGTGACAGTTGCCACGGAAGCGGCGCCCCTTGCCGTTGCTGTTGCCGTTGCTGTTGCCATTGTTGCGTCCCTGGCGTCCGTGGTTGTTGCTGTTGTTGGAGAAGCCGCGCCTTCCGCCTCTGCGTGGCGGTGCGCTTGCCATGAGGCCGCCTGCCTGCGGCTGTGTGCGTGAACCACGCATCTGCTGCTCCAGCTGCTGCAGCCTGATGCTGAGCTCGAGGAGGGAGGGGAAGCGGCCACTGGCAAAGTAGGGAAGCGTGAGCGGG